TTTAAATTGATTCTTTCCTTATTATACAGGGTGACTCACATTAAGAAATATACAGTTTCAGTGCTCTATAAATCAAGAACAATGTAAGATACTATATTTCACTTGTAACAAAATTTTATGTGACTATTTTAACTTTAGTAAGAGACAGTCACAGACATTCTATGTGGGAACCCTTTGGCTCCCTTCACACCAAACGAATCTGAGTCAGTCGCAATCAATCCTATCTGATCGACCAGGATTTGGCTTCGTAATTTCCCACTCAAATAAGCCAAGATTCATTTCCCGCCTTCACACCAAACGAATCCGGTTCTATCCGTCTTGAATCTCGTCCTCGCGAGATTGAAAAAACTCGTGTTAGATTTTCTTCAGTCAGCAGTTGGGAGCAATGGATGTTGCAATTTCTTAAAGAAAAAATGAATTCAAGCAAATAGAGTGTTGATTTTTATTGTTTTTTATGTTTTTTGTGTGATTATATCATATAAAGTTCCTATCTAAGTAACTGATTTCAGATGTGTTGAAGATAATGACTTTATATTTAGAGTTAACATGGTTTTGTTTTTATGTCAAAAGATGGCGCTTATATTTTTGGTATTCAAAGTATTGTTTTTCATTACGTAAACTAACTCTACTCAGAGGTCGGCAACCTTTCAGCTGTGGTGTGCCAAACCAACCTACCAACATGATTCAGCGTGCCAAGCAATAGCAAATATTTGAAACAATTCGATTCCCACGACAATACATGCAGAATTAGGAAAAATAGAGGTCAAGAATACAAATTTAATTGAATGTTAATTATGCATCATTTAAAGATATTTATTGACTTAAAATAGCTATTCCTTCAATCTGAATAAAAAATTAAAACTGTGAACATAAATATGTATCTTTTTAGAATTTTTAAGGGGAAAAATTGAAATATGACTATTCTTCAATATAAATAAAAAATTAAAATTGTACATATATTATGCATTCTTAAAATATTTATGAAACAACAAATAAACAACATAAAATATAAGTGTTCATGCGAAAAAGTTAATTAAAAAATTAAAATTTTAATGCAAACCTTGTCCTTACAGAGCTCTACTTAATGTCGCAATATCAGGGGTATAATTTATTACTTTCAATTTTTCACACAGGATTCAGAATGTTCAGCAGTTAAACAATTTCTTAGTGAACTCAAAATATATTACACATGAGAAAAAATTTGTTCACATAGATATGTGGAACCAAAAGCGGAAAGCAGGAGACATGTTATTTTTTTCAAACAATTAAATCTTTCTGGCATTGACATCCAACAATTTAAAATAGCTGTCGATTTATTGTTAAAGTTATCTTTCAAATTTTTCCAAAACTCCATAAAATTTGTTTTCCATAATTCAGAATATGTTAGTTCAATAAGAGCCATTTAAAAAGTATCAATTTCCATCCACTCAAAAATTAACAAATCGAATGGGATTATTAATGGGTCTATTAAATCAGGTTTGATTTGGAAAGAAAACATAGGCATACAAGCTTCAAAGTCTTTGCATCTTTTAGAAAACTCCTCCTTTAGTGCTTCTACGTAAGTTTGAAGTTCATCTTTGTCTACGGTTGATGTATTTGCAAGCGCTTTAACATTTGGGAAGTATTTGTACGTATTTGTGATCTCGTGTTGTGCAGTGTATGATATTGTTGAGGTTTCATCCAACAGACGTCTTCTTTGAGGACAGCACTTTTATTTACAGTAAACGCATAAAAAGAAATATTAAACGCAAATTGTAACTACCTACGCGGGCAATTTCTCTATTGTGGCCACCGCCCTAACGCGCCGGTGCCGAGAAGCTATCTATTTCAATAATAAAGAACACATTCTTCCGGTAGGGGGACACAGTGCGCCTCCTGGTGAGGGGAGGAAACACTACAGTATTAGTATTAATATCACAGGAAAATAGATTTAATTTTGTAGCAAAGCCTTTCTAATGTTCAAAAAGTTCAGGCACTGTTTGACTTTTTCCTTGCAATCCTCAGTTGAGTTTATTGAGATGTTTAGTTATATCTGACAGAAACATCAATTTACATAACCAATCCTTGTCGTCTAATTCGGGAAAATGTTGTACCTTCTCATTAAGAAAAATTTTAATGTGTTCCATACATGACAAAAACTTATTCAATACATTACCTAGATTAAGCCAACGGACACGACTGTACAAGGGAAGTGCTCCACACTCACTTTCCATTTCTTCTAAAAAAGGTTTAAATTGTCTGTGTACTAATGATGATCGAAACATTATAAAATTAACTATTTTCACAACGGTATTCATTACAGAAATTAAGCGCTGAGACGAAATTTTGGCAACTAAACTTTCCTGATGTATTATGCAATAAAAGTTCAATATTTTATGTCCAATATGATTTTCAAGAAGTTTGACACAAATCCTTTTTCCTTGCCAATCATTGCTGGAGCGCCATCAGTAGTTACACAAAATATTTTATTTATATTGTTTTTCTTTCAAAATGATTTATAAATGAAAAAAGAATATCCTGCCCTTTCGTTGTACCAGACAGATGAATCATACTGCATAACTCAGCGTTTCTCAAACTGTGGGGCGTGCCCTCCTAGGGGGGCGTGATAACCCTACAAGAGGGGCACGAGCATATAAAAAAAAGTTTCAAAAAATTAATTTGCTAGAATGAATTAAAACAAAATATTTTCTGACAAAAAATAAATACACATTTACACTGATATAATTTATATATATCATCTGGCAATATTACGTCATCTCCACTTCCAGCTATCTTTATCCTATTACAAAATAAAAAAACAAAAAAACATTTTGTTTGATTTGTGCTGCACTCCTGCGATGACAAACTTTTTCAATACATTTTTTTTAAGCCTAAAATACTACTCTTTCAGAGAAAAACAAAACCCAGACCCAATCACTGTCATTTAGGGAAGTTCTAAATAATGTACTTCTGTTGCGTTTTGTTCCATGTAAAAGAGTTTTATGATTCACAGAGGATTGAAGTATTATTTAGGAGATTTATTTTTACGAGCATTTTGAAACATATAAAGCATAATAATAAAAAAGAACATGGAAAGCCACGCGATAGAAGTAAAACTTCTTTGCCGATGTTGGCCGTAAATGCAGGAATAGATCAAATTATATTAAACTGCTGAGAAAGCTTTAACCGAATAAAATTCGAACTTCATTTATTGTATGAAAATATTTTTGTTCAATTTTCTGCATCATCATTTTCCAAGAAAGACACAAAAGGTGTCCGGTAACTAAAGTAGGATATTAAAATCCTCGATTGTAGTCAATCAAGAAAATTGCATCAATCGTGGTTCCGTATATTGTTTTTCCTTCTCTAGAATCAGTATTCATTATCAAATTCAGTGTCCGTTTCAAGAATTCAATGAGTGGCTTTGCTTCTTCTGAAGCAAAATTAACATTAAAGTCTTCAGTTAAGATAATCAGCTTTTAATCATCATCGGATCCAATGATTGCAGCGGCCTCTGATGTGTACAGCACTAAAACTTTATGGATAAAGATGATAAAAGATGCGACAGAACTACCTGGTGATATATAGACTTTCGCCAGGAATTGCTGCTAGTTTTGCTTTTTTTTCTTTCACGAAACAATTTTCCTCTTTTTGCATTTGTTCTAGGCTCTCTGACCAGAATTTATTTTGATTCAATGGAAATAAAAATTAATAATATAAACTTAATGCATCACTCACAGAAGTCACTGTATTTGTTTACAAGACGCTATCCGTAGCGATTCTGGCGCGAATGTTAGTGACATATACAGAATGCACATACTCCCGTAACGGGAAGAGCCATATAATGGTAATATTTTGGGTGCGTTTATTCGTTGAAAACGGCACGTTTATTACATAAAAACTACGAAAATACGCCACGCGAGTTCGTTACTAGAGTAGCAAGGGTACCCACTTAATGTCGCCAATACCTAAGCGTCTATGACGCAAATCAGGGGGTGTACCCCCGCTCTGATTTCCTCCCGCTCGCTATCTCCTCACCATGGCGACATTTCGGGGGGATGGGGGAATCACTACTTCCGTTCGCTTTTTCACTGTTATGCCAAACTGGGTAAATTTCCCATTCACTCCTGTCCACAAAAAAGTTTCACTTCAAAACGTTTTACACAATTCCTTTTTAAAACTAACATCCTTATTTTTACATTGAATACACTTTCAACTCGGGAGTAGTCGCGCAAAGCGCTAAGTAACCCCAGGCTCACGAAATCGTTAATTCCTGAAAAACTGTGTATTTGTTACCAATGGCCTTGACAGTATCCTCCTATATGACAGTCTTCAGAGGAACAAAACGTATTTGTCACATATCTCCCTCTTTTTTCGGAGTGGCAAACGTTTCTTCACAAAATCTTAGAAAAAGCGATGAACATGAAATGAAAATGAAAATGCCTGAAAATGACATTCTTGTAGTGTGAGCGAAAAGTGACTGTGATTTGCGTCCTTTAATAAGGTCTCGCACATTTAAATTCAGTTTTATTGGATTTTTTCTCAAGTTATCAAACAAAAAATTGAAAAGTCATTGAAAGTATGTAAGTATGCTTTCGCTTAGTTAAATTATTCACAAGAATTGTGATTTTTATCGTGTAAAATGAAAATAATTATAAAAAAAAAAAAGGATTGGCGTGACTGAGTCATCCCGCGCGACCATTAACATTAGTATCGAGTGCGCGCCTGCTCCCGGATTAAAACACTTTGAAGTCTTCTCGCTTTAAATATTAAAAATAACTTAATTATTCTTCATCGGAATTTTACATTCTTTTTCATTATTTAACATTAATTCTAATTCTGTGTGGCTTAAAATTACAGTTGATTTTGCAAAAGAGTTGCAGTCTATGGACAGCACGTTTTCGTTTTACAGTTTTTTTTTTCCAAATATTAATTCATTAATTAAATAGAAAGTGGATAAATTGTAACGAACAAAAATAATAGCCCAACAAGCCTTTATGAAAGGAAACTCGTTCGGTGTATCCCTGTAGTGCAATGAATAGCGCGTTGGACTTCTTATCCAAATGTCGTGGTTTCGATTCCTACCTGGGTGGCTTAATTTCTGAGACTGTGTTTTCTTTTTTACTATACTATTTTATTAGAATAATTAAATTTAATTAATGAATTATACAAACAAAAAACAATCCAACAACATATATAGAAAAGAAAATATAAAATTGCTTTCTATTTTGCCACTTAATATTGTGATTCTGTCATATATATATACATATTTATACATTAATTGTATTTATTTAATAAAAATTAACTAAAATAAAATTTTCTTTGTTGATCTAAGTAGGAATTGAATTAAATTTTATTTTATATTGATTATTATTACAATGATTTTGTGCTTGTTTAGACAAGGATTTTTCAAAATATATTGATGAAACTATTTACTTTACATAAATTCTACAAACAAATTTAAAAAAAACCATGGAAAAAGTAGCAAAATCAATCACAAAAATTACTTGTAAGATTGGTGATAATTTCATAATTAAAAATTAAAGTTAAATACAAAAGTTAATCAAGAAAAGGAATGTGATTGGGATTTTTTGCCATCACAGTACTTGACTTTGGGTACTAATTTGCTTGAAGTATAGTATTATATTAAAATATGAAAAACGTTAGATACATTGCTATGTATTTCGTCTTATTTCTACTTAAAAATGCATTTTAAGCGATACTTAGATTTATTCATTTTTAATAAAAAATGCTAATGTTTGTATAGATTGTTTTGAAAAATTAAACACAGTCTCTAAATTAAAAATTAAACACAACTCTCTACTCCAGGTTAATCGCAGGCGACAGTGAGTTGCGGTAAGGGGAACACATCTGACAGGCCTACGAGCATATAGACCAATGTTCCCTAAGCGTCGGAACACGGTCTGCCTTGAAACTGTCGTACCGGTAGCTGAAGAGAGCTGACGAGATAGGTCTGATGCTGTGCTCCGTCTGTTTCTTTTGGCAGTAACTGCCAAATACCTGTCCTCATTCGGCGTTGTAACTCGTGGGTGACGTGCTGTAACATTTACTCACATTACCATCATCTTGGAATCGTTGCCAAAGCCTGGAGATGACACTCTGGGCGATTCCAAGTTCCTCGGATACTTCTAGCTGGGTACGTCCACATTCCAGTCGTCCGATAATTCTACCACTTAAAAAATCATCCAAAGGCTTCCTTTGTGCCATAACTATGCGGTTATTGCACTGAAAGGCCTTTAAAGCGCTTGTGAACAATTTTACTTCTTTGCCACCATTCCTTATATACCCCTCTCTTACACTCTCGCCATTGTGACGTACTATCCGCGCCATCTGGTGGTTTCCTGTAATTTGCATATTCTTCTTTAAGATGTGTGTGATAATTCTACAGGTGAAATTTTTATTTTAGAGTTCAATTTCTGTGTGATTGTGAATTATCCTTAATTTATGGGCTTGAGTGTAGAAAAAAATTTATATTAAAATTAATGAATTTTAAAGACATTTTATAATTTAAGCATATAAGTAATTTTAAACATACGTTATTTTCTAACTGGAAATCTATGTTAAAGGTTGCACGGATGAGACCACCAGAGTTCTATTGCTCTCCGAGAGTTAGGCACCAAAGTGCAATATATTTGACCAGTTCACGATTTATGACAACCATAAAATGTGTTAAAAGAGGGAATAACTTGAAATGTCCAGAAATACTTTAAAAATAAGGAAAAAAATTGAATCACAAGAGAAAAAGCTCGTTATACAGAAAATGCACTTCGATATTGGGAGGTTATTTTACGAAGAAAATCATGAAATGTTCTTGGTTCCAGGAAAAAGTTCACTATATTGAAAAATTCACAATATAGAGGTTCATAATATGGAAGTTCGACAGCATTTTGAAGAATTTTAAGGAATTAATCGAAGTACAAGAACGTTAAAGACAAATGCAAAGTATATTGCTCCATAGTTGTTTTCGAAGCAAAAATTTGATACTTCTTGAACATCTAGAATTGGGAAATTGAAATAAATATTGTCTATTTAATTTTGAAACTTATGTACATGAAATGGAGAACCGCATATTCCAGCATATTACGTGCCCCTATACTTTCACACACACAAACTATATTTTTTAAAAACTTTTAAGTGTATTCACCGTATAATGGGAAACTGTTTTTCATGAAGAAATCTAAAGTATACATGTGCACAATGCTCTTATCTTTTTACAAAAATGGTTCACATAAAAACAAAACGTGTCACGAAATATCTCACTCTTCTGTTGCGCACTTGTGCTGAAGGGACAAAACAGGATTAAAAACTTTGATAATTTTTAAAAGAAAACCAATTCTGAAATCTAACTTCCGGAAAGGTACTTCAATGCATGTTCAAGGAAAAGATGGATGGACAAAAATGGTGTAAAATTATGGATAAAAATTATTTGTGAAAAACATACAGTTGTCTTAAAGAATTTAGAAAGTATTTTAGTATGGGACATGTTCATGTCCTAAGATGTCTTTAAGTCCTTAGATGGTGAAAAAATTTACAAAAGGAGAGAAAATGAATTTATATATATAGAAATCTTATTTTTTAATATTCCCTTTTCCAATATTTTTATAGTTATACTTTTATACCCGGTGTATTCTCCCTCCCTTGAATTTGGATCCTTTTTTTTCAATTATATATATATATATATATATTATTAGTTCACACTCTTCTTATATATATTTATGTCTTGTTCAAATTTTCAATCGTTAATAAAAAACTTTTTCTTTATCCACTCAAACTCAAATACATTTTTTTAAAACTTGTAGTGGATGACACTTGATGTTAATACAGTTTTTTTTCAAATGTTAATTAATTATTTAAATTTAATTAATTAGTTTTAGTTTTATATGGGAGAAAAAATTCAATTTTGCTAGTTAATATTTTGATTCTGTCATATGTATATACATATTAATATTAATTGTAATTATTTAATAAAAAAGTAATTGAAATAAAATTTTTCTTTGTTGCCTTAAGTAGGAATTTACTTAATTTTTTTTATTACTTGCTTGAGTTAAAAGTGCGCGTTACACACCGAAATATACAGTAGCATTTTTTTTTATCAGATGTGAAGATTATTTGGATGTTGTGTTTCTGACAGAAAGCAAATTTTTCTCCTCCAGGAAGGATTTTTCTTACAGCGAGAAAAAAAAATAACATTTTTTACTTTTACGATTTATTTATTTTATATTAATAGAAATTTAAAAAGAAAAAAAAAAGGTGAAATCCACAACAAGGTTAAAGAGGAAATTTCCGAGACAAAAAGCTATACACAGAAACCCGTCTACCATCAGGCGAAATGGAGGGAAAAGATAATTGTAATTTAAGTGAATTCTGTATTGCTATTTAGAAATACAAGAGAATGTATTTCTAAATAGCAATACATTCTCTTGTATCATTGCTTATGTCTTTCTCGACATTTTTCTCTTTGCCACATTCTATTTTAGAAGAAATAAAGTTAATTGGCGAAGTTTATTTGCTTTTATATTTCTAAAATAAATTTGTGTTTCTCTTTGGATAAGGGAAAGAAGTGGAAGAGAATTAGAAAAAGGAAATTTTAATGACATAAATTTATAAATCATCAGAAGTTTTGATATCAAGAGGGCAAAGGAAAATTTCTCAGAGTGAAAAAAAGGAATAAGTAATGTATTCGAAAAAGCCCGTGCAACGCGGGCTATGCGATTAGTATTTTTTTTAAATAAAAATCTTTAAAAAATATTAAAATACTCTCAATGTATTATTGAAACAAAGAAATGATTGTTAAATAGCCATGCTAAAATATAGCTTTGTTATTGAAGTTAATGATAAATCAACAATATATAATATAAATTCGATTCACAACAATGCTGCTTAGCAATAAATTCAAAGAACCACCAACAGAAAAGCCGAAAAAAACTTCATTATATGTGTTGACTGCTGGAAAGTAAACTTGCATTTGAGTTTAAAGTGAATTTTAAGTCGTTGTTCCTAAATATTTTATAACGTGGTTGATTGAAAAAGAGCCACGGCGATTGAGTTTTGGTTCGAGATGTGCTTCTACGTTTTCTATTGCGGAATATCTGCCCTGTTGGAGAATGACCTGTCTTCATTTACAACATCGTTGGTTACGTACTTTTAATTGAAACAATTAAATACTGCGCCTTTTCCAGATTATTCGAAAAAAACCAACGCAGTACTGCAGCTCCCGTTGTCTATTCAGTTATCACCTCAGAAATTTGCCAAGACTGTGACATTCTAGCTGCATTGGCTGCACTGGACACAAAACCTAAATTGATCTTAGAACACAAGGGGAAAAATTTTATTCCTAAAGTTTACTCAGAATTTGTGTTCAAAATCTGTGGCGCCTTGATGATCGAAGCTCAACTTTCTCCGATGGAAAATAACAGCAACTGGATTGGAAAATTAAACAGAAAATCCAAAAGAAGAACCCTCCTGTTGTTCGTTCCATCGTCGTCTACAAGATCTGCGTTGCCTTAAATCTTCGTGCTCAACTGTGTCCAGCGAATGCAAGCAACGCATCGATTTGTAACACGCAACTGAAACCGAAAATTAAGAAAAACATCCCTAAGGTCCATTCTACTTTTACTTTCAACATTTGCAGAGCTTTGGATCTCGAGGCTGTCTTAGCTTCACCATAGGAAGGAAATCCATATTGATAATAGCAATAAATCAATACAAATATTAACAATATGTTTGAACCAACAAAAACACTCACTTATTTAAAACAAAGCACTTCACTACCACAAAAGCATCGTAACAATTCCACAAACAAGCATCCTGCAGCCTTATAAAGCAAAACTATTTACAAGTGTTCATGACCATAATGCCGGGACAGCAAATCAGCAGGCACTTACTGGTCATGTAATACAAAAAATCATCATGAAAGAAATGCCGGGACTGCTCCTCAGCAGCATCTTTCAGCCTAATAAGGCAGACATCTTACTAGAATCACATGACTAAAATGTCGGGACTGCCCATCCCCAGCAGGCATTCAGTGGTCACACACACACATGTAATTCAAAAACTCATCATGAAAGAAATGCCGGA